AACCGGACCGGTCGGTCCAGATAGATACTGGTCCGGTCTCCAGTCCAATTGTTGTACCGATTCTGGTTCTGGTCTGGTCCCAAACCCGGAATATTCCAGTCCGGACCAGTTAGACCGGAATTAATTTATGTGTGTGTGTATTAAAACAATATACACGTAAACACATACATAGTACATTAATTAATTTAATTTAAACAAATACATTAATTAAATGATACAATACCATAGACATTAGCTCAAGTAACATACGTAATATTATTTACATATTTACACTAATAAAATTTTGTAGCATAAAACATTAGGAGTTAGAATGGTGCATTGTATTTACTTACTTTTACTTGTTTTAACCATAACACATAGTGCTATTAATTGAATTCTTCAATTCTTTATTAAATATGCAAAGTTATTGAATCAGAGCATTCACTAAATTAATCGAGCAAGGAACATTAGTTTTTCGTACTCATATGGCCATGCATAAAAATTTATCGTCAAAGTTGGTTCATATTTTCACTAGGCATAGTTCATGTGCTTATTTCTACTTTTTTTAAAAGGAAACTGTGTTGGTCCCAGTATATGCAGACTAACGATTAGCTAGATGGATATTCATCGATAAACAGAAAGAGAGAAGATCTGATAATGATAAAGAAATATCGAGAACAGAGAAATTCTTCTTCTATTATATCGAGAACTATTTTGACAGCGTAAGGCTAAGAGTTGTATTGATCGATATCGGTACCTGTACACAAGGCGCATATTTATAGGCGCTGTACAGGTTACCGATTTAGGTAAACCTTGAGGTTTGGGCCAAGGCCTTTTTGGGCCTTATTCCCTTTAACCCAATTATTACAAAATGATTTCTATTCTAATACCATAAGTGGTATAACTAGTCTACCTTATTAAACAAGACATTACAGACAAACTTGACTCACAATAAAAGTTCTAACAATCTCCCCCTTTGTGGTCAAGTGTCGTCTTGCTGGGTATTTTCACTCCTGAGCTTTGAAATAGTGTTTGCGCAGGTTTAGCGCGTGCTCGTAGTTCCTGAGTGAATTTCTTCTATCAAGTTGTTTCTGGATAGCCTGCAGAATGTTATCAACTCTATGTGCCTCTTTCAATTCAGCATCTGTGGCATCTGCATACTTCTGTTGTTTTTCTTTAAACGCTTCTCTGATAGGTTGTAGCTTCTCTTTCACAATCTTCAGAGTTCCGTCACAGTACTTGTTAATTTCATCAATGAATAGCATACGTTTCTCGCCATTGTGATTCAGATAGATAAGTGTGACTGGACTATCAAAGATATAGTACTCAGGAAAGTCCTCAAGTTCTTGTCCATACAGCTTCGGTCTTGTGAGATTTGTCTTTGGCATGTTTGTTTCAAGAGCCATCTGAAGATCATGAGAGGCAAAGAATTTGATTTGTCTGATCATAAAGCGTTTGAGTGCATCAAACCCATTTTGCATAATCTTGTCTCGAGTCCCGGGAATTTCTTGGAATGCAAGATACATCTGATAGACGTCATCCATCTTTAGCATGTAGAAATCATTTTCTTTGCATGTGAATTCAGTTCCATTGGAGCGTTGTAGATGATAGACAGAGAGTTTGATATCTTGAATATTTGTCTCAGCTACATTGAGGATGGCCCAAACTGGATCCTTTGCACTTTGAAGTTCATGTTGCCACACCTCTCTCTGTTTCCCCATGTAATTATGGCTTAGCAGGAATAATTGTCCGCCCTTGTTGTTCCCTCGTAAATGATTAAGGCCTCGGATTTTCAACTCATCCAGATCTTTGACTTTGTCTTCTCTCTTCGCCAGATATTCTTTCCGATTTCCTCTTGAAAGGGAGCATTGACATTCACGTTATCCCAGGGCTTTTCACTTCTGGGCATCTAAGCCGCTGTCTGTCTGATGATAGATTCAAGCTCCTTGGGAGGTTTTTCATAGTCTTCTCCTTCCTTGAATTCATCTCTTCCAAGTAGAATTACGTCAGCAGCACAGTTAGCTAGGAGTTCCCGAAGGTATGCTCTTCGCTGTATTTCATCTATATCTGTCCATAGCTCAGACCATTTGTTGTGCACCAGCATTTCTTCAAGTTCATCGTGCATTTGGTCATTGTAGAAGCTAGAGGGAGGCTGTTGCTGCTGCTGCTGCATATATAATACAAACTGATTATATTATATAACAACCAAAATTCTCAAAGTACTTCCAACCATACATCGTCGAACCTTCTCATGAGGCTCCGCATAGCCAAACGGCCCTCCCACTCTCTGGCTAAACATAGAATAGACCTCCTCGAAAAGAGCGAGACTATTCGCGAACCATGTGAGAGCTTCTCCACATGTAGGGATTATTTTTTAAAAATGAATTTGTTAATATCACTTTTTTAGCGGGTTTTTTGGCGACATGGTGGCTGGAAACAAAAAAAAGAAATATAGTTTGTTGGTCTCCTTGACGAGGCGCACCTCCCAGTATTTTTCTTTTAATGTTTCAGAGACTTTTGGAAATCGGGGTTAGATTTTCTAACGACGTTAGACGCTGTGCCCTTGATGTGATAACGGAATTGAAACACATGTCCCACTTTGTTAAAAAACGAAACATGTGCCCCTATCTGAAAACGGCCCAAACAACAGATACCTTTTTTGTACTATTCCCATCAGGTTTTGCCATCCCGAGTAACCAGCCCACCTAGCTGCCTCTTCAATCGCCATCACCTCCATGATACAACAATAACAACAACATCCAGGCTTTAGTCCCAAAAGATATTGGGGTCCGCCAACATGAATCGATACATGATATCACCACAAAAAAAAAGATAAAAAGGATAAGCTATTATGAAAAAGATAATATAAAAAGAGATGAATATACCTAAAAATGATAAAATAAAAAGGATTAAAATAATGTTTATATATATAAGGATAAAAGGATTAAAAAAACAAGAAAAAATAAATGAGGGGAAAAGATAATACGAGATCACTCCTCCATACGAATACTCGCCGCCCTCCACTTTGCTCTCTCCAAAGTCATACCATCATCTAACCCAAGAAGAAGCATATAAGCATATCACTTCGGACTCCCCTAACCCACGTCTGTTTGGGTTTTCCTCTCCCTCTTTTCCTTGCCTCTTCTCCACACATCTCAACTCGTCTGACAGGTGCATCAATTGGTCTTCTACGCACATGACCAAACCACCATAGGCGCAACTCCTGCATCTTGTCTTCAATAGGTGCTACACTTTTTGCTGCAAGGAACTCCCCACTATCGCCCCTAGCAACCAGCCTAATGCCACGCCCATCACCATTTGTTTGGAGAGCGGCACCAACATTAATTTTAATACAGCCCAACTCTGACTTCTCCCATCTCTTCTGGCTGTCTGCCGGAGTGCACGTCTTCATCACTGTTTCCTGTGCATTCCTCCATCCCGCCAGCACCGCATCGCCACAAGCAATAACACCACTCTCATATATTCGAGCTACTATTTGTCCAGGTTTTGTCATTTCGGGCTTTCCAAAAGCTCCAACAAGTAATAACAAAAATACAAAGTTCATCCTTAGATAACCCGCTACACATACCTGCTGCCCATTCTCCAACTGAAGTCTTTGCCAAACCTCGTTGTTGCCATCCCCTTTGACGCCAGACTTCAACCGCCAACGAGCAATCCCGCAACAAGTGCAGTGAGCTTTCCTCATGCAGCCCACGGACCGAGCATACCGGCCAAATCGGTACCCGTCGTTGTATGAGACGTTGTTTGCTACGCAAACCGTCCGTGCATGACTGCCAAAAGAACACCTTTACCTTTGGCGGGACAACTAAATTTCATACCTTAGCCCATGTTTGATCTGGGCGCGTGTCTTTAGTCATCCTCCGGTAACAGCTTCTCACAGAATAAATCCCTTTGGGATCGTCCGCCCAAATTTGAACATCATCACCATTTGTATTCCGTAGAGGTATGCTACGGATTAAATTCTTATCCTTCATGCAAAAAAGATCCACCAGAATATCATCATCCCACCTATCCCCATCCATTGTCATGAGCCATTTGTCCTTCCAGACTTTCGTGGAAATACCATTTCCGATGCGAGAAATAAGCCCCTCCCTCACAATAGGGATCGCTTCTGAGATGCTTCCAAATGAGAGACAGATTGTGCCCACATTTTGCATCCAAGATATTACCACCATTAAAATATGTGGCTCTAAGCATATTTCCAACTAGGGAGTTAGGATTTTTAATAGCATCCAGACTTGCTTTCCAAGCATTGCTATGTTGAGCTCCCGAATCTTTCTGAATCTCATCCCTCCTTTATATTTTGGAGAGCAAAGATCACCCCAAGTCTTCCACCGTATGCCTTTCCCTTTAAATGCATGCATGCCCCTTCCACCAAAATGCATTCATGATTTTTTCTATGTCATTACAGATATAAACTTGCAGTAAAAAAACATTCATACCGTATTCAGGCATGGCTTGGATTACCGTCTTGAGTAAGACCTCATGTCCCGCCTTCGATAAAAATTACTGTTCCAGCTTTGAATACTCTATACCACCTTCTCCTTGATATAGCCAAAAATATCTCTTTTTTCCGCCCCACCATAGCCGGTAAGCCCAGATACTTCCCGCCGCCCCTATCTTCCTTCACCTAAAAAATGGCGCTTAAATAATCTTTGTCATCCCAAGCTACATTCACACTAAAGCGAAATTAAGACTTGTCAAAATTAACTAGCTGACCTGAAGCCTCAAAATAGGTGTTAAGGACTTGTTTTACAGCGAGACAATATGTTTCAATAGCCCTGCAAAATAGAAAACTATCATCAGCAAAAAGCAAGTGTGACACAGATGGTGCCTTTTGAGTCACACGAATGCCCTGTATCAACCTTTCTTGTTCCTTTCTCCTAAGCATAGCACTGAGACCTTCCGCCACTAAAATAAATAGATAAGAAGATAAGGGATCTCCTTGTCCAATCCCTCAAGTAGTCAAGTAGGCATGATGGGCCCTAATAGATCTCCATTTGTAACACCGGACCCGAATTTTACTGTGAGAAATTTTTTTTTTTTTTCATCAAGTACTGGGTTAAAGAAGGTAAATCAAGGCTAAGAGTAGTCTTGATAAATGAGAAAGTAAAAATTTTGTCTTAAATTAATAAAGGGTTATTAATTTAGACGTGGGACCACTCGTGATATTCTAAGTTCATTTATAAAATATTAATGTTTACCAAAATGATACTATTATGATAGTAGGGATGGGTCATGGACCCAGTGATATAAAGAAACGACAACTAGACGGCCAAGCGGGCTGGGGTCTCTATTCGATAATTGGGAATCATTAATCATCGAACTGATAATAATTCGGAAGGCTACGAATTAATAACAGAAGGAATATAAATGTTTTAAAAACCCAAAATAATGGGATGATAATGTATGATTAAATTGACATATTAGAGGTGGGTACTTTTGGAGGACCCTACCTTGAAGATATTTTCGTATAAGAATAAACAGATAAGATTTTATCTGCTTATACAGTTGGGACCACTTAAAAATAAGTGTAACATTTTATTAAAGTGTCACAAAATATGAAAACACATATTTAGTCATTAGGACTGATGGATGAATTTTTAAAGCAACGTGTTCTCATTTTTACTGTTACTTGAACAGTAAAATGCACGTTGGGCCCACACATGGGCGGGGACCATCCGATGTTTACGGACCACATATTATATTCATCTTGGTTTAGATAATATTTATATGAGGTTGTAAATAAATGTTGAGCCATAAAGTTGGCATTTCGATCAAACGAGGTCTCATTACCAGTATAGGTAATTAAACCGATAACAACCCAAAATTAATTTCGGCGACCACGAAATTAAAGTGGGATAATATATATTCATTTTAGAGGCCAATATTAATTGGAAGAATGATATATATTTTATTTAACACGATAAAATAAAATATAATTGAAACAGTCCAGAAAATACAACTTTCGGGACCGATTGTACACTTTTGGACTTAAAGGGATGACCTCCCACATTAGTGGGGGCCACCCCACGAAATTATTCAGCAAAGTAGACAAAGGGACGGCTGTATAATGGTAGGAAAGAAATAGGAAGTTGGCTTGAAGTGATGAGCATCAATGAGAGACATATGTGGACCCTTTTCCTTAATATTATGGGTGGAATGAGCCAAAAGGACATCAATCTCTCTCCCCTCAATCACCCACTCGGCCAGCACCATCAAGAGAGGGAGAAGAACCTCTGTAAACATACCTCCATAGCCATGAACCGAGCTCAAGGAGGAAGAAGGCTCAAGGAAGAAGAAAAGCTCGGAAAAGAAGAGAAAAACTTAGTAAAACCAAGGTAATGACTTCAATAGTATTTTTCTTCCTTCATTTAATCTCATATGATTTTATAAATCATATGATAAACTTCTAGAGGTGTTGAATGAGGGTTTGGAAGGTTAAGTTTAACCATGAACGGAGTTATGGCCGGAGTAAGACCGGTTCACCGGAAAACACCTTCTTGGAAGGTTTTGACATTTATACCACTTTTGGTTGTGAAAACTTGTTAGGAATTTTACCAAGGTATTCTAGACTTCTCGAGGAATCTAGGAGTGGCCGGAAAGTCGCCGGAGCCGCCGGAGTTTTTTCCGAAAAATTCAAAAGTCGCCGGAGTTCAAACAAAGAAGATAAAAGCTTGCTAGCGTCATTTCGAGGTGAGTGGACGACTACGTGTCTTGTAACTCTTGGTTCAAATGTGGGATTACCTAAATAAAATCATAACCATGATTTGAGAAATGATGAAATGGATTAAAATGCATGATTAGTCATGGTGTATATGACTAATGAAAAAAATAGATTAATTTATTAATCAATCATTAGTACGTAGTATATATTTCTTAATGCATAAGAGGATATACTTGAACCATGTATGAGATAAGCTCGAATAATCTAGTAAGTGAATATAAAAGGGTTGTAAAGTTGTGATTATCCATATTAAATATGGATTATGGAAGTATTATATGATAAATAAAAAAAATAGATTAATTTATTAATTAATCATGAGTATATTTTTCTTAAATGAATAAGAAGGTATACTTGAACCGTGTATGTGATTAACTAGAGTTATCTAGTAAAGAAATATAAAAAGATATGTGATATGTGATTAGTCATATTAATTATGGATTATGGAAATATGGCATAATTAATGATTAATCAATTAATGGTATGAATAAAAGGTTGTAAGAAAGGATCATGAGCCATGATTTGGGCTTGGGCATGAGATTACTCAAATAAAACAGAATGATATTCCATGAAATGTTAAATACATCTAAGAATGTATTAAGGAAAGATTTACTTATTAATAGTATTAATAAGTGTATTTAATATGCTTTAATTTGGACAGAAAATGATTATAAATTATGTGTGATGATTTGGACGTCCAAAATAATATTTTTGGACTAAGAATGACTTGTTGTATAAGCGTATAAAATTTCGTGGAAATCGGACCCCGTTTGGATGGTCAAACGGGCGTTGACCAAAATGTTGACCGGTTGCCCAGGGGGTAACCGGCGCCGGTTATAGGCAAAACCGGCGCCGGTTATGGTTCGGTTTACTCAAGAAAATCAGTAAACCGGCGCCGGTTATGGGTAAAACCGGCGCCGGTTATGTCTCGGCTTTCAGGACTGATTTTTGCTAAAAACCCAAATCGGACCCGGTTCGACGTGGGATTAATTCTGGCCATCCTATATATGAATATTTTGCATCGAATTGCATGAAATATGATGTTTAAAATGATAAGGCTTGGAATACGGTTTAAACGCTAAGACTTGGACTAGTCGTTAGTAAATAAATTATAGACCACGACCAGGCGAGGTACGTGGTAGATTATACATGGCGGGTGAATACCCGGGACCAAGTAAGGTTATATAATACTCTGTAGGACCAGGAGGAGTCCTCTACACTCAAACGTTAACAAGGGCCCGTGCAGTCCTTGAGGTGTGTTTAACCTCCATCAAATTGCATATAGGTAACAAGGGCAAATGCAGTCCTTGAGGTGTGTTTAACCTCCATCAAATTGCATATAGGTAACAAGGGCAAATGCAGTCCTTGAGGTGTGTTTAACCTCCATCAAATTGCATATAGGTAACAAGGGCAAATGCAGTCCTTGAGGTGTGTTTAACCTCCATCAAATTGCATATAGGTAACAAGGGCAAATGCAGTCCTTGAGGTGTGATTAACCTCCATCAAATTGCATATAGGTAACAAGGGCCCGTGCAGTCCTTGAGGTGTGTTTAACCTCCATCAAATTGCATATAGGTAACAAGGGCAAATGCAGTCCTTGAGGTGTGTTAACCTCCATCAAAGTGCATATAGGTAACAAGGGCCCGTGTAGTCCTTGAGGTGTGTTAACCTCCAGTAAATTACACATAGGATGAGGGTGTATGCGTACTCCTCGAGGCGGGGTTAACCCGGAAATGAAAACTATGATAGCAAGGACGGATAGTCCTCGAGGTAGGTGAACCTCGAAGTAATGATTTTAAATGATTAAACGTGCTTGATCGGGAACGAGTTCCCGATATAATATTTTCCTTGGTCTAGGGATTGATTTAAACCATGTCTGTGATATGGGAGTCCGAAGGGCCCCACAAGAAGATATATTTTAATATCGGGTGAGTCAGCCTGCGGGTGACTCCACTCGAGGGTAAGACATGGGAAGGGTGAATTTAATGAGGCTATTATGCCTAAATGATTTGAAAGACAAATGGGCCCACGGGCCGGATATTTTACTCATATGTATATATGTATACATTTTGTTTTGAAAAGGGGTAGCTAAGAGTTATGCCCATAATTATACTATCACCCTATTTTGAGGGTCTCACGTGAGAAACGTTAGTTACATTACATACAGTTTGCCCTCACCAGTACTTTTCTGTAGTACTGATCCCTCGGGGGAACCACTCTTTCAGGTTGAAGCTAGAGCTTACTTCCTGCACCCGTTGCTTGGGAGATCGATGGAGAGAAGACGTGGTTCGTGCTTCCTCTCGTTCCATTTTTAAATAATTAAATAATGTTCATGGAACTATTTTGACTTATAAATTAATGGAGCCTGCGAGCTCTTGTTTTACCCTTGTGTGGGTTCTTATTAAACACTTATATTCCGCTATGTGTTTGATTGTATGTTGATGTTGTTATGTATGTTTACTAATCGGTTTTGGCATATGTATCTATCGGACGTCTTGTGCAATTCGGTAAGGATGAACTACGGTTATTCTTATTGGGTTGTACGACGGTTGTCCACGTGGCACAGACGCGGTCTGGGGCGTGACAATTAAGTGGTATCAGAGCCAAACGATTTCTAAACTATATAGTCAACCTCTCAACAGAGTTTCTATCAAAACAGTTTTCAATGAAAAACCATGAGCATAAGTTTTGTACTTTAAGAGCATTTGGTTATCGAGTTGCAAGGTCTCTGGTTGTTAAGATGGGCCCCTTAACAATTGGTATGGCAGTGACTTGAGCCAAGTTGTGTCTTGAGTACGTTTCTGTCAGTTGACATTCAAACGAGTCCAAAGACTCATTCCAACATATTCTTTCAGGAATGGGTGGTAGTGATAGGGCGGTTCGAGGAAATCCGAGAGGGCGCGCATCGGGGATAACCGGGCAAGCCAATCGGGGGATATCAAGGTCACGTAAAAGGCGAGGTATGGGCAATCAAGGCCCACGAACACGAGCTGCGATGGCTGATCACAATGTGACTGAATTCGAGTCGTGGAACTCGGAGGATGACTCAACTTATCACCCTCAAAGCGAGTCAGATGAAACTTCTTTTGAGGAAAACAGTGGAGAGGATATACGTAGTATTCCTCCGGACCATGTTAGTGAGATGTACCGATGGTACCAACGTGAAATGGGAAGACAACGACAGGGATCTCAGGAGGGACATGTCAGAGGCGAGACCTCTCTCAGGAGGGTTCGGGGTGCTCTTACAGCACAGGTTAAGACAGTCAGAGATTCTGATGGCGAAGGACCATTCGTTAGGATCTCAAAGTACCTCAAAGAGGCTAGAGCCTTGGGGTGCAAACCATTTGATGGGACGGAGGACATATCAGAAGCAGCCGAGTGGATAAAAAGGTTAAATGATGCAGCTGAGGACATGCAGGTGGTCCCTGAACGAAAGTTAAGGGTGGCCACTAGATTATTGGAGGGTTTAGCTTCTACTTGGTGGGAAGGCACCAAGGGTAAGTTTGACGGGGTTGTCACGTGGGACAACTTCGAGCAAGCATTCTATGAGCAGTTTTACACCTCATTCGAAGTAAATCGAAAGAGGAGGGAATATATCGATCTCAAACAGGGAAATGAGTTTACGGTGAAGCAACTGGAACAAAGATTCCGACATCTGGCAAGGTTCTTGCCTGAGTATGCCGCAAATGAGAACCGAATGGCAAACCATTTTTGGAACGCACCCAATTTGGAAATACGCGAAAGAGCGACCTACCAATTCAACATGACTTTTAGTCAAGTAGTAGCCCAGGGTCTCCAGGGGGAGGAGCTTTGGAAGGAAAGGCAAGCAAGGGATGCAAAGGAAGCACAAGAAAGAGATCAGGTGATCATTCACCCTCCACGACGAGAGGGGAAGTATGAACTTCATAGCAAGGAGGACTCTAACAAGTTAGTTCCGTTTTTCAGTGAGAGTCAGAACTTGGTAAGTCAAAGCTCAAGCACTCGGGGCACGGGGGCACCCAAATGTGAGAATTGTAGGCGAAGGCACTACGGGAGATGTCGAGAGCCATCTAGATGTTACTTTTGTGGAGAAACAGGCCACATCAAGGTCCTTTGTCCTCAACGTACGCGTGAAGGAACATCAGGAGCTAGAGGAGGGGTCACGGGGGTTGAAAACCCAACTAGGGTTGCCTCAAACGTGGTACCTTCTACAAGTCAATGGCGAACTCGCTCGTGAAGGCCGGAAATGGCGGAAGCCATTTGTTAGGCCCGACTATGGCATAAGGTATTATTAAATTAAACTTTAATTTCCATAAATATTTTTATGTTCAAATTTTTTAGCTTCAGAAAATGAAGGGAGAAATGTTTCTCAAGGTTCAGACGTTAATTTCGGGGACGAAATTCCTGTAAGGTGGGGTGAACTTGTAACACCGGACCCGAATTTTACTGTGAGAATTTTTTTTTTTTTTCATCAAGTACTGGGTTAAAGAAGGTAAATCAAGGCTAAGAGTAGTCTTGATAAATGAGAAAGTAAAAATTTTGTCTTAAATTAATAAAGGGTTATTAATTTAGACGTGGGACCACTCGTGATATTCTAAGTTCATTTATAAAATATTAATGTTTACCAAAATGATACTATTATGATAGTAGGGATGGGTCATGGACCCAGTGATATAAAGAAACGACAACTAGACGGCCAAGCGGGCTGGGGTCTCTATTCGATAATTGGGAATCATTAATCATCGAACTGATAATAATTCGGAAGGCTACGAATTAATAACAGAAGGAATATAAATGTTTTAAAAACCCAAAATAATGGGATGATAATGTATGATTAAATTGACATATTAGAGGTGGGTACTTTTGGAGGACCCTACCTTGAAGATATTTTCGTATAAGAATAAACAGATAAGATTTTATCTGCTTATACAGTTGGGACCACTTAAAAATAAGTGTAACATTTTATTAAAGTGTCACAAAATATGAAAACACATATTTAGTCATTAGGACTGATGGATGAATTTTTAAAGCAACGTGTTCTCATTTTTACTGTTACTTGAACAGTAAAATGCACGTTGGGCCCACACATGGGCGGGGACCATCCGATGTTTACGGACCACATATTATATTCATCTTGGTTTAGATAATATTTATATGAGGTTGTAAATAAATGTTGAGCCATAAAGTTGGCATTTCGATCAAACGAGGTCTCATTACCAGTATAGGTAATTAAACCGATAACAACCCAAAATTAATTTCGGCGACCACGAAATTAAAGTGGGATAATATATATTCATTTTAGAGGCCAATATTAATTGGAAGAATGATATATATTTTATTTAACACGATAAAATAAAATATAATTGAAACAGTCCAGAAAATACAACTTTCGGGACCGATTGTACACTTTTGGACTTAAAGGGATGACCTCCCACATTAGTGGGGGCCACCCCACGAAATTATTCAGCAAAGTAGACAAAGGGACGGCTGTATAATGGTAGGAAAGAAATAGGAAGTTGGCTTGAAGTGATGAGCATCAATGAGAGACATATGTGGACCCTTTTCCTTAATATTATGGGTGGAATGAGCCAAAAGGACATCAATCTCTCTCCCCTCAATCACCCACTCGGCCAGCACCATCAAGAGAGGGAGAAGAACCTCTGTAAACATACCTCCATAGCCATGAACCGAGCTCAAGGAGGAAGAAGGCTCAAGGAAGAAGAAAAGCTCGGAAAAGAAGAGAAAAACTTAGTAAAACCAAGGTAATGACTTCAATAGTATTTTTCTTCCTTCATTTAATCTCATATGATTTTATAAATCATATGATAAACTTCTAGAGGTGTTGAATGAGGGTTTGGAAGGTTAAGTTTAACCATGAACGGAGTTATGGCCGGAGTAAGACCGGTTCACCGGAAAACACCTTCTTGGAAGGTTTTGACATTTATACCACTTTTGGTTGTGAAAACTTGTTAGGAATTTTACCAAGGTATTCTAGACTTCTCGAGGAATCTAGGAGTGGCCGGAAAGTCGCCGGAGCCGCCGGAGTTTTTTCCGAAAAATTCAAAAGTCGCCGGAGTTCAAACAAAGAAGATAAAAGCTTGCTAGCGTCATTTCGAGGTGAGTGGACGACTACGTGTCTTGTAACTCTTGGTTCAAATGTGGGATTACCTAAATAAAATCATAACCATGATTTGAGAAATGATGAAATGGATTAAAATGCATGATTAGTCATGGTGTATATGACTAATGAAAAAAATAGATTAATTTATTAATCAATCATTAGTACGTAGTATATATTTCTTAATGCATAAGAGGATATACTTGAACCATGTATGAGATAAGCTCGAATAATCTAGTAAGTGAATATAAAAGGGTTGTAAAGTTGTGATTATCCATATTAAATATGGATTATGGAAGTATTATATGATAAATAAAAAAAATAGATTAATTTATTAATTAATCATGAGTATATTTTTCTTAAATGAATAAGAAGGTATACTTGAACCGTGTATGTGATTAACTAGAGTTATCTAGTAAAGAAATATAAAAAGATATGTGATATGTGATTAGTCATATTAATTATGGATTATGGAAATATGGCATAATTAATGATTAATCAATTAATGGTATGAATAAAAGGTTGTAAGAAAGGATCATGAGCCATGATTTGGGCTTGGGCATGAGATTACTCAAATAAAACAGAATGATATTCCATGAAATGTTAAATACATCTAAGAATGTATTAAGGAAAGATTTACTTATTAATAGTATTAATAAGTGTATTTAATATGCTTTAATTTGGACAGAAAATGATTATAAATTATGTGTGATGATTTGGACGTCCAAAATAATATTTTTGGACTAAGAATGACTTGTTGTATAAGCGTATAAAATTTCGTGGAAATCGGACCCCGTTTGGATGGTCAAACGGGCGTTGACCAAAATGTTGACCGGTTGCCCAGGGGGTAACCGGCGCCGGTTATAGGCAAAACCGGCGCCGGTTATGGTTCGGTTTACTCAAGAAAATCAGTAAACCGGCGCCGGTTATGGGTAAAACCGGCGCCGGTTATGTCTCGGCTTTCAGGACTGATTTTTGCTAAAAACCCAAATCGGACCCGGTTCGACGTGGGATTAATTCTGGCCATCCTATATATGAATATTTTGCATCGAATTGCATGAAATATGATGTTTAAAATGATAAGGCTTGGAATACGGTTTAAACGCTAAGACTTGGACTAGTCGTTAGTAAATAAATTATAGACCACGACCAGGCGAGGTACGTGGTAGATTATACATGGCGGGTGAATACCCGGGACCAAGTAAGGTTATATAATACTCTGTAGGACCAGGAGGAGTCCTCTACACTCAAACGTTAACAAGGGCCCGTGCAGTCCTTGAGGTGTGTTTAACCTCCATCAAATTGCATATAGGTAACAAGGGCAAATGCAGTCCTTGAGGTGTGTTTAACCTCCATCAAATTGCATATAGGTAACAAGGGCAAATGCAGTCCTTGAGGTGTGTTTAACCTCCATCAAATTGCATATAGGTAACAAGGGCAAATGCAGTCCTTGAGGTGTGTTTAACCTCCATCAAATTGCATATAGGTAACAAGGGCAAATGCAGTCCTTGAGGTGTGATTAACCTCCATCAAATTGCATATAGGTAACAAGGGCCCGTGCAGTCCTTGAGGTGTGTTTAACCTCCATCAAATTGCATATAGGTAACAAGGGCAAATGCAGTCCTTGAGGTGTGTTAACCTCCATCAAAGTGCATATAGGTAACAAGGGCCCGTGTAGTCCTTGAGGTGTGTTAACCTCCAGTAAATTACACATAGGATGAGGGTGTATGCGTACTCCTCGAGGCGGGGTTAACCCGGAAATGAAAACTATGATAGCAAGGACGGATAGTCCTCGAGGTAGGTGAACCTCGAAGTAATGATTTTAAATGATTAAACGTGCTTGATCGGGAACGAGTTCCCGATATAATATTTTCCTTGGTCTAGGGATTGATTTAAACCATGTCTGTGATATGGGAGTCCGAAGGGCCCCACAAGAAGATATATTTTAATATCGGGTGAGTCAGCCTGCGGGTGACTCCACTCGAGGGTAAGACATGGGAAGGGTGAATTTAATGAGGCTATTATGCCTAAATGATTTGAAAGACAAATGGGCCCACGGGCCGGATATTTTACTCATATGTATATATGTATACATTTTGTTTTGAAAAGGGGTAGCTAAGAGTTATGCCCATAATTATACTATCACCCTATTTTGAGGGTCTCACGTGAGAAACGTTAGTTACATTACATACAGTTTGCCCTCACCAGTACTTTTCTGTAGTACTGATCCCTCGGGGGAACCACTCTTTCAGGTTGAAGCTAGAGCTTACTTCCTGCACCCGTTGCTTGGGAGATCGATGGAGAGAAGACGTGGTTCGTGCTTCCTCTCGTTCCATTTTTAAATAATTAAATAATGTTCATGGAACTATTTTGACTTATAAATTAATGGAGCCTGCGAGCTCTTGTTTTACCCTTGTGTGGGTTCTTATTAAACACTTATATTCCGCTATGTGTTTGATTGTATGTTGATGTTGTTATGTATGTTTACTAATCGGTTTTGGCATATGTATCTATCGGACGTCTTGTGCAATTCGGTAAGGATGAACTACGGTTATTCTTATTGGGTTGTACGACGGTTGTCCACGTGGCACAGACGCGGTCTGGGGCGTGACACCATTAGCTTGAATGTGATACCTAACTGTGGTGACACACAACATGATTAAATAAATCCTACTTGAGAAAACCAAATGCTTCCATCATGAATTTGAGAAAACCCCAGTCCACTCTGTCGTAAGCTTTGCTCATATCCAGCTTGAGTGCTGCAAATCTCACTCTTCCTTGAGTCTTCCGTTTCAAAAAATGTTGGGTCTCGAATCCCACAATAATTTTATCAACAATGGATGTGCCTGGGATAAAAGCACTTTGATTTTCAGCTATTATTCCATCCAACAAACCTTTTAAACGGTTGGCTCGCACTTTAGCAAAAAATTTATAGGCAACATTGCATAAAGCAATTGGTCTCCAGTCCCCCCTCTGGGTTAAGCGGATTATCTTTCTTTGGGATTAACACAACAGTAGTATCGTTACTTCCCTCAGGAATGCAATTATTATAAAAAACACTAGTGCAAAAAGTCACAATTGCAGAACCCACAACATCCCAAAATGCTTGAAAAAACCCCGGATTTAATCCGTCTGGTCTAGGAGCCTTATCGGGGTACATACTAAAGGCCGCATCTCGAACCTCCTGCTCAAAGATATCCCGGAGCAATCTATTATTTTGGACCGAGCTAATCCTGGTCCGAAACTCCCCCAAATCCAAACGGCCCAAAGCTCCCGAACTAGTGAACATATTTGTAAAATAATTCAAAATCATATCATTTAAGTCATCCTTCTTTGTCACCTAGTTACCTGATTCAGAGAATAAACCTTTCATAGAATTTTTCCGTCGTCTTTGTTTCACTGAGTTATGAAAGTACCTGGTGTTAACATCTCCATGCTGAAGCCAAAATTCCTTCGCTTTGTGCCTCCAGAAAGCATTCTGTTATTCAAGTAGCTCCAGATAACACTCCTTAGTTCTGGAAAAGTCAGCCAGACCTGCCACATCCGATCTGCCCCGGAGTCTTTCCATACGTCGTTTACAACCGTCAATTCTTCTTTGGAATCCACGACGAAGATGCTTACCCCATTTGCCTAGTTCCTCACCACAAAATTGAAGTCTTTCTACCAACACTCTTTTTTTACTCGAATCCCAGGCCTGCTCCACCACGTTTCGACAATCTTTTTCCTTCAACCAGTGGTTCTCAAATTTAAATCGCGAGCGACGCCTACAAGTTGTGCTCTGGTCAAACTTAAAGAAAAGTGGTAGATGATCGCTATTACTCCCTCCAATGGAGGTAGCCCAAACGTTCTCAAATAAGCCAACCACCCATCGTTCACAAGAATCCGGTCAAGTTTTTCTTCCACCCAACCTCTGGAGCCCCTTCTTCGCTCCCACGTAAACTGGTAACCATCGAAAGGGAAATTTACCAAACTACTCCCCCAAACTGCATTGTAAAAGCTCGAGAACAACCGAGGGGGTTGTGGACAACGACTTCTCTTCTCGTGATCATACATAATGTCGTTGAAGTCACCCATAACAGCCCAAGGAAGATTGTTAGCACTAGCTAACTCCTGTAACAAATCCCATGATTCCAGTCTTCTTTGACGTTCCGGGTAGCCTTAGAATCCTGTCAACCACCATGGTGCATGTGACATCCCGAAAATTTAAATAAAATAGTCTTGTTATTAAGATAAAAAAAAAATTGGAATGTGACATTTTTATATGCACACACGTAATAATACTAGGTAGTTAATAATAATACCACTTAATTAATATATAAATGTTGACTTTTCAAAAGTAGCTATGTAAACTAATAATTTAAGTACATATATTGATATATATGATGAAATGCACACATGATATGTTCGTACTACTCCTCGCACGCCGGATTCCAAGCAACGCGCTTATGGGAGAAAACGGAACGAGCATTGAAGGAAATAAATAAGAAAGGTTATTTAATGGAAAAATCTAGAATGGTCTATTAGGTTTACATATATATACGGTTTATAACCCTGCGTTATGATTAAAAAAAAAAAACCCTGCGTTAAAACACCTTTGAACTCTAAACCTTCGTCGCCGCCATTGAGATCGATATATATATATACATAACTTATGGGGCGAGCTTCGAACTGCACCAGAACAAACAGACGTCGGCAGCCTGTCTGTTAGGAGCGTAGAACGAAAGAGGAGACCGCCGCCGCGGTAAGGGGTGCCACTGTTTTGGATCTCACCGGAATATTCTGCTGGTTCATCCGGAGAAACCCATTTGTTCGTATTGTACCGCCGGACTACTGAAGAGAGGAGTCGTTGTCTCAGCTTCTGTCTGGACGAAGCGGGAGAGATATCTTCCTGAAAGGGACGTTGCAGAAAGCCTTTGAACCAGTCGCCGGAGAAAGAGCCGCCAGACAAGAAGAAGTTGAACCGTCGAGCCTTTGCCGCCACTGTGTCCACCTGAGTCGCTACCGCAAGGAAAGCTGTCCATTTCCGTCTTTGACTGCTATGCCGGCTGGGACTTTTGCGAGGGATTAACGAGGAAGACGATCACTTGTTGGAGTACGTACGTAAACATAACTCTTTGTTTTATGTAGATCGATGTTTTAGAAACCTTTGGACTGGGGATTTTGTTTAAAGGATGGATTGGAGTATCTTATGTGGGCTGGTCAAATGAAATACTACGATACGTACCATTTAAGTGATAAGTTTGAATTGATAGATGTTAATAAAAAAAAAAAATTGGCTTAATTGGACTAGTATAGAGATGACTTATTAATAAATCGTAAGAGGGAAAATTGGCTTAGTAAGTTGATGTTGATTTTAGATTCTTAACATTTTAGAAGGTGAATTTGGAGAAGATTGAGGATAGAAGATTCAGCTAGGATTTATCGTGATTTGAGGTAAGTTCCACGACAACCAACATTATACTTTTACTCGTAAATCTATGTATGATTATTCATTTGAAATTATTATCTGAGTATTTATGAGATTTCTTGAACTTATATTTATTTTGAGTATTTGGAATTATGTATGAATTGTTATTGAGAAATTATATTTGAGATTTGAGTATTTGATATTAGATGATATTTTGAGTATCTGTTGGGATTAAAATTGAGATTTGAGCTATTTATGAAGTATTCTATATTTTGGCTCTCTTGTGAAATTTTAATGTATGGTACATTTGAGTGTAATTTGTTGGAGTTAATATTTTACATTGTGGATTATTTTGTGGAGTTTGGATTTCATATCCGTTTTGTTGAGGTTGTGATATTGGTTTGGAACTTTGACATGAATTGTGATTTTTGGTGAGCACCCGGAGAAATCTGTGGTGTCGGTTTGCCACATCCGGATAAATGTGGTATTGGTGAGTGGTAATGGCTATAAGTCTAAATCCACCAGGGGTACTTCCCAAAAGTGGAGTATCCCAGCTTAATTGTAGTGTAGTTGGTAGAAAAATCCCGACTACTCGGGCTTCTTACTTCCCGGAGGGCTTGGAATCCCTTTTAGGGGGTGTGCACACTTAAGGTAGGAGTTCTGCTTCCACTAGCTTTGATTGGGTTTGAGGTGAACTGGACTTTAATTGGATTGAGGTGATTGAGATTATTTGATTGGCTTGATTTGGATTTGAGGTGAATATTATTTGATTGGATTTGTGGTGAATTAAAGTATTGGATTGATTGGAATTGTTGGATTATTGGATTGGATTATATTTGGATTGAGTTGTTAAATTATTTGTGGGTTTTACTTTTGGATTTGATTTGGTTTGATTATGTTGAGTACTCTTTATTATCAACATTTATAATTATTTTGAGATATTTGGTGTTTGATTTATGCTTTGGAATTATTGTAATGATTTTTGGTGGTTTTACGTATAATTGGTATTTTTTTGTAATTTTTGTGGTTGGGAAATATTTGCTTATATTTGAGGTACTATTATTTTACTAGTGAATTATGCTATGAGAAGATTTTATAAATTGTTTAAAAAAATATATATTTTTCCTCCTAAATGTTTTTCAAAAACATTAAATTTTATTATTTATTATTTTATGGGGTTAGGTGGAACTTACTTAGCATTGTTGCTAATTTTTGTTTTCTTTTGTTTTTCTTCTGTACTTGATTTTGTACAGGTGACGCTTTGATGATGATGTTGATTTCGAGAGAGCTTCCGCTAGAAAACATAGTAAATCATTGTAATTCCATTTTCAATATCTTTAGTTAGTGAATAATTATTTTTGGAGTTTAAGTTGTTTTAGCCTGTGCACTCGGTTAAGGGAGAATCGAGTGTGGCGGTAACGCCCCTATTTCCCTTTTGGTTTTCCGCTGCATAACTCTGATGTTTTCGAATAAAGTTAATATTTCTTTTGAATAAAGTATTATTTTTGGGTGGGAAATTTGGGGGTGTTACAAGTTGGTATCAGAGCTAATGGTTTTTCCGGGGCATTTTCCAAAACATTTTTCCAAAAGTATTTTAAACAAATTTTTAAAATTTTTCCCATGTTTAATAAATTTTATTAAGTGATACCAACAAGTTGGTATCAGAGCCCTTGGTTTTCCAAAAAGGGTTTTCAAACATTTTCTAGGGATTTGTTAAAAATGTTTTTTTTAAAAAAAAAAAAAAGCTTTCTAAGGTTTTTTCTTTTAAAATGGATTTTTCTAAGACGTTTTTCTAAAATATTAGGAGAATAAATTATTAGGTAATAAGTGTGAACTTCTAGGACTTAAATAAAATTTTAGGACCGCGGTGAGGATGCGAGACTTTCATTTTTTTTGTTTTGTTTCGGTTGAGTTTGTGATTCTTTTGATTTTCTTAAGATATGTTTAAGTGTGACATATCCATATATGTTTATTTGAGGATAAGTTTGGACTCATAGAAGAACTTTAAACCGTATGTGATTAGTGAGTTATTGATACGGCAATATATTAATGAATACAATTCGATAGATTTCTTATACACTATCCTTTTCAAGGAGATAATGACGTCCATG